TCGCAAATTTTACATATGAAACATTATTTTTTTTGTGTTATTGTTTTTTTGGGGGGGGGGCTTTTCCAAGGAGATCAATTTCTTGCAATTCCTTCTTATTAGGCTTAAACTTACAGTTTCAGCACAAATGCATTAATTATCTTTGAACTGTACTTTTTTCAAAACACTCTGTTTTTAAACACCACACAATTGAATTTTCACTATGTACTCTTTTTTTTTCCATTACCTAAGTTGAAATGCTTTTCATCCCAGTTTTGGTCATGCTGAAATTTGAAAAAACTTTTTTGATGATCTCGGTACTTTATTGGTTGTTTGCCGTAGTTCACTCATTAGAAATAAGATATGTGCGATGTGTTAACAGGAAGAGAACAAGAGGCAGGGCCAGGGCTGAGAACACTCCTATAATGCAACACAATAACTTTTTAAAAGTCTTAGTGGAAATATCCAAAATAAAATAAGCCACAGCAAATGTGAAGAATCTCTGTGCACTGCTGTCTGGGAAGAGTCGCCTATTCGACTTGAGATTCTAGGCCAATGCTGAATATAAATATTGTATATAATGTTTATTTGTTCTTTTCCATTTTTATTTACCTTTCTTTGTAATTTTTATTTTATTTTATCAGTGTTGCATATTGTTTTAAGGTTAACATATTAAGTATAAAATTATGTTTTAAAGGGTTTTTTCCTTTTCATTATATAATAGTATTTTATTTCATTTATGACTTTTTTCATTCTGAGTACATTCATTATATATATATATAGTACATGTAAATATCGTATTCAGAAGTACTTTAGGCATTTAGTTTAAGGTTTTTGTTTAGCCTTTGTATAATGTATAATCTTGGTTAATGTATATGTAGCTTTTTTGTTATGTATAAAGCCTGTGGAAAGTTTTTTTCTTTTGTATATTTGACCATTAGGTGTATTTTTATTTGTTTTGTTGATTTAATTAAATGTATATGTTTTGTATACATGTACCAGATTGCTGTATATATTTTGTATTCTCAGGTGCACTTATTTCCTTTAAAGTAATTGTGTGTATATTCCACAGGGAACAGGAAAAGTATCATCATTTAAATCTGAATTATCTGACCAAGTTGTGCAAAGAATGACTGGACAGTATTTGTGCCAATGTATAACAATCTTTATATGTTCACCAGTCAGCACGGGGCTTTTACCGGAGGTAGCTTTCAGAGAATAAATATATACTTTTGCTATGGGAGCATTTTCAGTTAAGGATTTGCTGCAGACTGAGAAAACATAATACTATATACAAAAAACAGCAATGCAATTTTCTTAGAATTTATGCTATCCCCAGAAAATATCACTACTCACTTCTACAGAAATCTTTCCCACTAGAAAATACACGTGATTATATAAAAGAATGATCCAGTTCAATAGGTAAGTAGAACGAAGGAAATTTAACTATTTATTTGACCAACATTCTACGTTAAAACTATATACCCCAAGTATACACAAACTTTTATGTGCATAATCATTAAAGGGTTTAAACATCTTTATATATATTGTAACAATCAATGAAAGCCTCAATAATGTAAATAATATCCATCATATTTGCTTATATGTAACACGTGCTTTCTTGTCGAGCATGATCACTTGTATATGTGTACATACATACTTCTATAAAGATGAGCCATTACGTGTGTGTGTAGCATCCATCACCCAGAGTTAGCTGTCTTGATTACCATAATTTTTATATGGTAACTGGAAATTGTCCGATGGTGTACAGGGTTATTTTGTTTTAGGACTTTTGCATGATGAGGAGGCTATAAAGCCCCTGAAATACAGCACATTTGCACTTGTTTTTATAGGCTTTGGTTTTAGACACACGTACAATCAGTTAAATGAGTCAATTTTTACCTTCCACAAAGCAGGGAACGCAATTAGCATCCAATGAGATCATTAAGGATTTAATAACAAAAGAAAGAGAACATTGTCCTTTATACAATTTTGATCCCTTAACGGGTCCCATCAGCTAGCTTTTATATGGTATTCTTTGAAACAATTCAATCCATTTTACAATTAATTTTCTAAGCTCCTTTTTTCCCAGTTTCCTCTTTTGTACTGAGATTAACGGTTATTAATGTAACATTTTATGATTTTGATCACATTATTTAATGGGTTTGTTTGTTTGTTTTTAATTATGCACAAAGCTACACTAGGGCTATCTGTGCTCTGCCCACCACGGGTATCGAAACCCGGTTTCTAGCGTTGTAAGTCTGCAGACATACCGCTGAACCACTGGGGGGCTATTTAATGGGTATTTGTATATTTTGTGTAACTTCTTCTCTATATTTGTTATTAAGCACAAAGCTACGCAAAGGGCCATCTGTGCTCTGCCCACCTACGGGTATCGAAACCCGGATTCTAGCGTTTTAAGTCCGCAGACATACCGCTGTGCCATTGGGTGCTAGATTTCAATTAATATTAAAGGATATCTTTTATATAATTTTCTTCGTATTCAAGTCTTATTATTGTGGCTTTTTTCATCGTTAATGATTTTGTGTTTGCCCATCTTATATGTGTCGTTCTAATTATATTAACGCCATAGATCTGAGGTTTTTAATTATTTATGTTAATTTAAAATTATGACAGAATAAAAACGAGGGAGGTGAGGGGTATGGTACCATATTTTCCATCTCTTTTTGCTAAGAGAAGTAAACTGCAATCATCATTAGTTACACGTCCTTGTAGACTCTCACATGTTTTTGAATTTCGCGCAAAGCTACACGAGGGCTATCTGCGCTAGTCGTCCCTAATTTAGCAGTGTAAGACTAGAGGGAAGGCAGCTAGTCATCACCACCCACCGCCAACTCTTGGGCTACTCTTTTACCAACGAATTGACCGTCACATTATAGCGCCCCAATGGCTGAAAGGGCGAGCATGTTTGGTGGGAGGGGGATTCGAACCCGCGACCCTCAGATTGTGAGTCGAGCTCCATAACCACCTGGCCATGACTCTCACAAGTACAGAAAATTTGCCTTGCCCACTACTCACTTTCTGTTCTAGTCACAGATGGCCAAGAGGATTAAGGTACTTTCACAGATGGTCAAGAGAATTAAGGTATTTTCACAGATGGTCAAAAGGATTAAGGTATTTTCACAGATGGTCAAGAGGATTAAGGTATTTTCACAGATGGTCAAGAGGATTAAGGTATCTTCACAGATGGTCAAAAGGATTAAGGTATTTTCACAGATGGTCAAGAGGATTAAGGTATTTTCACAGATGGTCAAGAGGATTAAGGTATTTTCACAGATGGTCAAGAGGATTAAGGTATTTTTTATGTTTCCAAAGGACAATTTTAGTAAAGATCTCTTTTGGATTCTCTGGCAAAATTGTCATGTTTAAGTTTAGAACAGCCATGAGGTTAAACCCTCCCTATTTACTTCTTACTTGCCCCAACAATGGGGGTAAAGCCTACATACACAGAGAAATGATGCTATTGTTTCTTGTATATAATGCCATGCTCTCTCAGTCTAGAACAGAAAAATTGGCAGAATTATTTGGATTAATTTAAGAATATCAGAAATGATACCAAATGTTCTTTGCATTCATATATTTTTGACTTTCTTTTTGTTGTGTTTAAAGCTTGGACTTCATATATTTTTCTTGTATAAACCCCTGATTATTTACAAAGTTAATCTTACCTCTAGGTAAGCAATGAACCTGAGAATACCACAAATATTTATCATTGGTGAATTGGCATAACGAGTTAAAAGTTGACTTGGGAAATTGTAAAAAATAACCTGCATTTAACTTGAGCTTTACACAATTATGTGAAAGCTAGGAGGATTCGATTAAAAAGAAATTAGGAAATCCATAAGGGCTTATGAGAAACAGCTTACTGTTGATGTTAAAACTACTAGCATGAATGTTAAGTATATTAAAGGTAAGCAAAACGTTAAAATGGGGATTTGATGCTGATAACAAGGAAATAGTTGAGGTTTTAGGTGCTCTCGTCTATTTGTATTAGCTATATTCCTGACCCTCGGGATTCTATAGGAAATTTTTGAATTGACCTGAATCCTGTTAATCCCTTGGTGCAAGAATAAAAAGTTAGATCTTAAAAATAAAGAATTGGAAGTAGTCAAGGTTTAGCCCAGGCTTTTAAATGAGATCAAATATCAGATCTGTAAGTTTCTTTAATTTAAGTCAGTAGATGGGTGAGCAAAGATTGGACAGTTGCTTATCTTACTCAATTTTTATAAAGGTGGTGGGTGGTGGAGCAACTTGTGTCTTTTTAAAGCTTATAACTTTCTTTTAGAGTATGTTACTTATTGGGGTGATGGAAATAATGTGACTTGGTGTCCTGATTTAGTCTAACGTAACATAATGTTCAGAGTAATCCACCATTCTTAATAACGTATGTATGATACAAGTCTATAGAAATAGCCGAGTGAAAAGAATTAATATCCACAGAAGTTTGCTGTGGCTCACAGAGTTCAGAGATTGGTAAGCTTTGGACACATGCTTTCTTCATTTCTATCAAATTATGAACATTTAATAGTAATTAATGCTACTTAGAATGTCCATAACGTATCTTCTATTTTATTTTTAAGATCTTCAAACAGCAAATTCAAGAAGTATTAATAATATAATGGCTGAAAATAGAGGTTTCCTCCAGTTTCTAAAGTTATCTGGTTTTCTAAACTTTAATTTTTTGTCAAACGATAAATTATCAAAAACAATGTAAGAACATTATTACAGCTTGATTTAAAGATGTCGTACCTAGTACTGTGCTGCGTAATTAAATTTGTATTCAACTACAGATACTCAAGTTTAACGTCCAAAACAAACTGGAATAACAAGCCAACCCTTACATGCTGTGTCATCTATTAAATCTTGTTTCTTCAAGTTTAACGTCCAAAATAAACTGGAATAACAAGCCAACCCTTATATGCTGTGTCATGTATTAAATCTTGTTTCTTCATCTTAAAATAATATTTATTTATTGCTACAGAACTATAAAGCTGATACGATTTTTGGCCGTTACAGATTTCACTTTAATAATCAAAGTGACATTTATTTGTCTTCCAATAGCATACATTCTGCTGAAATGGAACAAGATTGGAAATATTTTATAAATGCCCCCAAAAAAAAGGATGACACAGCAGCCACGAGACCTTACTGAGGTCGCTGAGTACTACGAGCTATCTGTTCCTTCAGAATCAGGATACTCTGTCGTTGTTCAGGTGGAAGCATTGCGATTTGTTGATCAGAAAGTTGGAGTACTTGCATGATAAGAGCAGCCTGGAAGAAAACAGTAACAGCTTCAGATACATGACCAAAATACAACTTCTATGGCCTTCATAACCAAATAATTGTTTATTTTCCTCCTGTAGTAGAAACAACCGTGAACATAATGTTACTTCATCGTCAAGTCTCGGTAATAAAACAGAGGAATATTTAATAAATAGATATTTGTTTGAGAGGTAAAGGATTAATAAAGCAATCTTATCATATTCAAACACGTGCACAAGCATTAAAAGACCTACGTATAAATAAACACCACACCTTCAGCCTACGTATCTAGCAATAGTATAGTGAAGTATACTTTAACATAAGTCATTTACTATATCAAATGGTCAGAAGTTATTAATAAACAGAAAACCTTTTCCTGATCCTGAGGTGCTGCTGCGGCTGCTGCCGCCGCTAATGCCGAGTGGGCTGCTGGATTTGTTGGCCTGGCCGACATTGGAATCATCGAAGCTAGCATGCCTACTGATGGCATGGGTGCTGCCATCCTAGGTCCTTGCTGTGGGGAAAAACAAACAAACATACAAGTCAAAAATTTCAAACTACTGACATTTGTCTGTTCACAAATATCAGTAAATCAAAGTGCAGATGAAATGTTATTATGATTTTTCTCTTATTTTGTAGAAATACTGAATGAATAAAGAAAGAACCGATTAGAATTACCAGTCTTGTTTTATCAACATTTGAACACCTGTAGGGACCATCCCTCACATTCTGAAATGTTTTAATAAATCTCTAACACCTTTCTTATGACCATTCTGTATATTTAGTTATTTGTTGCAAAGCTAATTAAGAATAGTGTCCGAAATATTCATTATTTTGTACAACATCAGAGCAGACAAAATTTCTTTTGAAAGATATTAACATTTAAAATAGCTGTTACAGCATTATAAGACTATTTTTATTTAAATAAGTGACCTTATACATGTATCAAACCATAGTGTCTGTCTCAGCATTCATCTACCTCCTGTTTACAGTGGCTGCTTCCCAAGCTGCGTTTCAAAAGCTGCACACGCAGGCAAAGCTCAACATCCACTTTTGAAATGATGGGAGAACAGACATTAACAATGTTGATGCCAAATTTTATTTCACAAGCAGGATATTCTACAGTAAATTGTTAAGAATTAAACATACTATCATTCACATTTCAAAATGTAATATAATTTAAAGAAAGAAAAATGTAGATTTATGATATGTTATTGTTGAGTGGCTCTTAGCACGACTGAAGTGCTCAACAATTATCTTTCGCGGTGGGCAGTACAGTGAATTAATGTTACCAAACTCACAGCAATAGTTGAGAAAGTTTTAGAATAAGTAAGGTAACATTGATTCACTGGTGTAGTCAACTATTGCTGTGAGTTTTTTG